GTGATAATGCGCCTGTTTCCTGAACTGTAACCCAAAGACCCGTCTAACCCGTTTGGACTGTACTAGTCTGTGCCTCTGCCTCCTCTCCTCAGCACAAACATTCAGAGCAGATTGCTGCCATCACAAAGCTGGTCCACTTAAGCTCCTTCATTGCTCTTTTGCAAAGGAAAGCTCCACTGCTCAACCTCTCTGAGCACTGCAGACATGCCTAGTGTTGGAATTTAGGGCTTTGTGAAATTCAGCTCAATAGAACATTGATTGAGTCTGATTAGCAGCTTATCTGTATTTCTAAATTAAAGTGAACATCCATGTTGCCTCAGGGCCTTTTTGAAATCTTCTCACAAACCTGGTAGTTTGCTGCTTGGAGTGGGATGGTGATGGACCACTGTGGTGCGCCACACAGACATCATCTGATCCTCCTAAACACGGCTGAACTCAGAGGGTAGGGTGGTGCTCAGACACAGCCGCACTCCCCCTTTTCCTAAATTCAACACCATTTTTACTGGATGCTATGTCTCCTTTCTTTCCACAGAAACTACATATCTGTATCTGGATACCCTCTTCTTCTTCTTCTTGGCAAACACCATAATGCTTATGTCTGAGACATTAGGTGCAGTAAACAGGCACAGAGCATGAATGGATGGAGGTCTTCCTGCATGTTGGTGCATGGGAATGCTTAACGCCACGTTTTCCCCACAGCTCTGTAGTGGGTGTCGGTCACAGATGATGCTCTTTACAGATGTGGAACACACTGCAGTTATTCAGCACCTCTTCCTATGGTTTGCCTTTTCTATGGTAGTGTTCTGCGCTTTTAAAAAAGCAGATGTTGACATCTGGTGGAGAATGGCTCGAACTACACATAAAAACATCTGCACAGTGACTTGGTTTAATCCCCACCCTAAAGTTAAACAAAAGGTGATTTTGTTTTTCAGAGGCTTAATGGATTAAAACTTTTTGAACCTGCAACCAGAGTATGTTTCTTATTCGGTTTCCGTGGACGTTTTCACTGATAATAAAGGTGAACTGACGGTAAAATGCTGTAAGTGAAGTCTGTAGAACGCGCGTGGAGGCAGCGAGCGGCGCAGTGATACAGCCGCACTCCGCCTCACCGGCAGGACACGTTGGTTAGTCCCTGCCACGCGGAAGGAAACGGGTCCAGGAGGTGGTGAGACCCAAAGTTAGCGCGCAGCCTTTAGCCGACACTTCGGGATATGATGCCTTTGAGGGCATTTGAACTGAGGACCTGTGAGATCCAGAAAGTCAGAGTATGAAGGTCGGCCACACGAAGGAGAGCTGTCGAGGCGGGAAGCGCAGAAAAGTCTGCTTTACTATGACTGACACTAGATGAGGCGTTTCCAGAGCCCCTGTCCAGGCCTCAGACTCCCTACAAAGCGTACAGCACAAACCTAAAGTTGGTGCTCGGAGTGGGTTGGTCCAGGTCTGGGCCGGGCCGGGCCGGGCCGGGCCGGGCTGGGCTGCCCCCCCCCCGCTGCGCCGCTACCGTATACCCCCGTGTAGCTGCGCACTCTGCTGGCGAACACCAAACCTCAGGTAAGAGCTGCTCCGCCCGGGGGTCCCTCCTCTCCCCCCGTCTCCCCGCCGGTAAAGGCTCCGGGAAACTCCGGTAAAGTCGGCGCCGTCTGGCTCTGCCAAGCTGGCAAACTTCAGCCGGCCGTGAGCCGGCCTCCGGTCCGAGTGCCCCGGCCCGCTCTTTGTGTCCGCCGGACTGGAAGCGTCCCGGGGGCGGGCGGCTGTTCCGGGTCGCCGTGGGCTGCCGGGCCACCGGACCCTGCGGCGGGGCGTCCGGGTTTCCGGGGGGGGGGGCCCGGGTTTCCGCGGGGGGTCCGGTTCCTCTGGGGCTCTGCTGAGCCATGACTAGATCCTCCTAAACATGTCTCCTTCTAAACATGTCTCCTTCTAAACACGTCTCCTTCTAAACATGTCTCCTTCTAAACATGTCTCCTTCTAAACATGTCTCCTTCTAAACATGTCTGTGAAGGTCCTCACTCATCCAGGTCAAGCTGGAAAAGTTTAGTCAGGCAGCTGGACGGGAAGTTTTCTAGAAGCCGTTTGGCCTCTGATCCAAGAGGCTTTATTCAGCTCTAATGATGGGGCAGCTCTGAGTTACTGTTCTGTAGGTGGAACTAAAGAGTTAGGGGGAAACAAATGACCATGCAGACTGCTGGCAGATGAGCCACTTTTCCTGGACAGGGCCAGATGTGGGCAGGGTCTGCACAGCATCTGAGGAGCAGAGCTCCAGGTGTGAGCAGGGCTCCTCAGACCTGCTGAGAGCAGACCCGGCTGGCCGGCGCTGGGGCTAGTCTGACCAAACCGGAGAGGAGGCAGCCCAAAAGATTCTTATCTCTGAAGTGGTGGAAGACGATGGAGAAACTGAACGCTTCCCCGAAAAGACCCAGCTGCAAACAGGCTGTGATGTGCCCCCACCCCGCCACTGAGCCCCGGGGACCCTGAACAGGAAGGAGGGAGTAGAGAGAACGGGTGGATGGATGGAGATGGAGGCCTCCTGATTCAGCCAGTAGTTTCTTCTGCTGGGTTCCTTAGAGATAGGGCTGGACATCCAGGAGGGGCTCAGGCCCTCTGCATCCAGAGGAGCCAGATGAGGGGGCTTTTGCCTTTTTCCAAGTTATTTCCATCCTGAAATGTCCAGAATCTTGATGTACAACAGAGGACACCGTGGTCATTGAGGCTGATTGTGCAGGTGGCTTCACCTGAGGGGAAGTCAGGGCAACTCTTCCCTCTCATAACTCATCCCACACATGCCTTTTGTTGTTGTTCTGCTCTGTGTCATCAGGCATGTCGGGGGCAGCAGGACGGAGCTCTTCTGTCTCATCCGTCTCCTCCATCTCTCTGATGGAAATCAAGGCTGAGACCAATCTGGTGCTCCAAGCCTTTCTGGAACAAACACTTTCCACCCCCCAGAGAGAGCGGCCTGGGAGGGTGGGAGGAGCTTATGTCGATGCTAACAAGTACAGGTATTGTTTTACTCCCGACTTCCTCTATTTGCTTGTTTTTAAACTTAACTTTTGTGCACGAGTCCACTGTCAGTAGTTTAACTTCATACTAGCTTTGTTGTTCATTCCACATGTCTTCTCGGGCTAGGTCAAAGTCACAGTCCAAAAGAAATGAGGGGTGGGATTCTCAAGCTGAAGATGAAGAGGAGAAGAAGATTGGACTGAAGGAGTTGATAAAGCAGCTCCCTTATCGGAGCAGCAAACGCCATCATGCAAAGGGCTCGCTGGAGAGGGACGGCAAGGCCAAACCTTCAGACCCAACAGAGGTAGGCCCCCCACTGGTGTAAGGATCCAGTCAGACTGAGTGGCGGCTCCCAGTGGGCACCGAGCGGCTCTCCTCCATAGAGATTCCCTTTCAGTAAATCCTTATATTTAGCACCTCTGGTGATCCTGCAGATCTAACAGGATCGTTTTCAGACTGGTAAAAGGATTGTGGCTAACTGGTGATGGGATTTAGAAGAGTGCAGCCCTCTATTTGGCTGACTGCCTCAGGTGGGGGGGCTCACCACTGTTAGCTGAGCTCTAGCTAGCTTAACTAGCAGCCTAAGCTGGACCGAGTCAGCACTGGCTGAACGGATGCCAAACAGGTAGGAACTGATCTGTTTCCTGTACACAGCCATCTCAGTCAGAATATCCAGTTTTTCTAGCTTTAGTGAAAGTGAAAAGCACGGCGTCAGAGCGAAGCGTGTGACTGGTGGGACGTGCACGAGGCCACTAAAGGGCTCATGAACCTTTCCAAGTGCAGCTGCTGCCAAACCCTGGTGGCCTGGTTAGACCCTCCTCATCAGCATCCAGTTTCTCACCCTGATAACATGGTGGCTGCAGCCCTACAGCAGAGCCCTGCACGTGCACACTCTCCTGTCCGGGGAGCAGAGCTCCGGCTGGCTCCAGCTTCTGCCATCCACCACAACCTGGCTGAGGGATTGTTCTCATATGCAGCTTGTGTCATTTAGAATGTCAGAAAGGAAAGCATGTGTCCATTTTGAGTTTGGGGGCTTGTGGAGGTTTTCCAAATATGGAGTTTTAGTATAAATTCTTTGCAATCTTGTATTAGTGACACCCCAGATAACGTTTGGCCACTTTTCTGCTCATAGGATTGGATCTTTTTCATGGCAAAACTACAGTTTGATGAAAGATTTTTGAGGCATCCGACAGTGGATTTGCCAAAATGTGACTTTCAAAGTTGAGATGAAATGGCTTTTTTCTCCACAGGATGGGAGATCGCCCTCCTCATCGTCAGGGGAAGAGGACAACGAGAAGAAGAGGAAACAAAAACAAATGAAGATTAAACACAAGCTCTCTACTTTTTTCAAAAGAAAAACTGAAGAAAGAAGGGAGAAGAAAAGAGATGAAAACTCATCCAAGAGGCATTTGGAAGTGCCAACTAACACACACCAGGGGCCTGCGTATGACATCAGCCCCCCCAGTAAGCACCCCCCTCCAGCCCGGTGCGGTATGTCAGTGTCTGAGCCGGGGGCCGCTCCGAGGCTGCCGGGGGGGCCTGTGTGAGCCCGCGGAGCCCTCCCGCTGCTGCGTGTGGTTGAGCGGCTCGTGGTTTGTGTTGATGCAGGTCATTCTCCTGAGTTCTACTGCGAGGTTGCGGGGAAGCTGGAGAAGATTGCTCGGAGGTCCACCAAGACAAAGAAACTGAGTCCATTATTACCATCAGCAGGTAACAGCGGCTGCTCACGGGGACTCGCTCCACCGGTGGGGGTGTGGCTCTGCCTGCTCTAAGGCAGGGCTAACAGCAGCTCACATCCCAGCCCTCACACACACAGCAGCAGGGAGAAGCTCTGCTGCTGGCTTCTGTCAGGAGAACACACCCACAACCCCTTTAAACATACCCACACATTCTGGGAAGAATAACATCACCTCATTTCAGCCCTGAGGCCCTCTCTGAACAACCACATCCTACCATGTGGCCACTTCAGATACACAACACTACACTATAGCTCAGGGGCCAGATGATTCCACTCTGAAACTGGCCGCAGTGCTAACCTAGAGGCACGTTTCCTTTTGTCTGAGCCCTCCCCTCTGCTTTCCCCCAGAGGTGTGTGACAAAGAGGTGGTGATCCAGCAGCTGGTCCAGGTGCTCTCTCTGGAAGGAGACTCCATGAACGCTAAGGTGGGAGGCTTCTGTGGAGCCAGAACATTATGACCGCCTCTCCTCACCCTGCTGAAAGAGCTGTGGCCGGTCATGTGTGTGGCTCTTTGCCCGCTTGACTGGTCACTGAAGGGGTTCTGGAGCTACCGGGAGTTATCTTGGGGAGGGTGTCCGTGTGTTGGCTTGCCGACACCCTGCTCTCTGACCCGCTGTTTAGCCCCTCCCACTGTTTGTGGGAGGCTGCTGGTGTCCTGCAGAGGGGTGGAGGTCAGATGGATCTGCCGTGGTCATAATGTTGTGGTTGGTGAGAGCTGGGCTCCACACACGGCCCCAGAATGTGCTTTTGTGAGGTGTAAGCTCTCCACTCTGCTTCCCCTGGACCCACAGATCCAGTCAGACCCCTTCCTCCGGAACCAGCTGGCCCGTCTCTCCTACGCATCCTTCAGCAAGGTGGTGGAGGGCTTCAGCAGCCGGCAGGTGTCCGAGGCCCCGGCGCTGCCCCCCTCGGCCAGCCCCACCCTGCGACGCATGGCCGTCTCCATGGAGGCGTCCCGGCGGATAGTGACGGCCACAGGAGCCCAGCGCCTGCAGGGCCACGCGCTGCACTACATGGAGACCTTTGTGCCATGGGTCAAGAGTCATGGAGGATGGGTGTGTAACCCTAACCCTAAGCCTCCACAACGAGCCAGGAAGTGGCTGCGTTTCCTCTGCTCTGCTGAACACAGCTCTGTTTCCTCCACAGGCCAGCGTGGTGGACATAGAGGAGCCGGTGGAGTACGACTGACATCTGGCCTGACTCTAGCCTCCAGCTATCCACGGCCTGGACTCTGACCCTCAATATCCTGGAAAGGAGGGCTAGGTTTTGGTTCCCGTTTACAGCATGTCAGAGGAGAGGAAGAACTGTGGCTCTAGTTTGAGCTGACATCGGACTGAGCTGTGGGGATGGAAGGAAACTGGTCTTCTGCTGCTTATTTGAAGTGGATCAGTCAGACTGCTGCCAGTCAAAGGCATCAGCCCAGCGTTGTGTATTTATTCCCAGCTGGACAGGGGTGACCTCACCCACAGCCTCTGCCCTGACGTGAGGCCCTGTGGCCGTAGCTGGACTCCTGGCCGCTGACGGGCGTTCCCTTTAGGGTCAGGCTGGAGGACATGGCCCCATCAGAGAACCAGTTTGTCCGTCCTGTTAACCAATCACACACTGCTCTATTTAACTGGACACGTTCAAGTGTGTCTAGAAGGTGCCTTGAGATGATATCTGTGGTGATTCTTTGTTATATAAAGAACACGATTAAAGCTGTTGAATACCTTTGTGTGGACTGTTAATGATCTTTTGGGATGAGTAGGGATTCAGGCCAGTCACTTTTGGATTAACATAAACTGGAGACAATGAAAATTTGGAGTGGCATGCCTTTATTTGACAAAGTTAGTGATGCAGTTTGTGTCACTTAGACAACAAAAGAAAAAGCGAGTGGATCCAGGCAGCACAGACATCCTGCATGCTGCTTCATCAGTTAATGGAGTCAATCCCCCATACCTGCAGGCCTGTCAGTTAAACAGGACGGGGCGGGGGGGGGGGGGGGGGGGGGGGGGGAGTAGCATGGAGGAGCTGCACCAGAACACAGGCCCAGCTGAAAGGAGCGCCGGACACTTCTGGAAGCCTAGTTTGGATCCTGCTTCATGCTAATTAGACTGAATAAAATATGTGGAATTCAAGCTGAGCTCATAATGCGACTTCTAAATGAATACCATGCCAGGACTGCTAACGGCTACGAAGCTCTAAATAGTTTATTAGATGAGACCTGAAGTAGAAAAAAGCTGCAGCTAATCTCTCAGTGGTCTCGGTCTCTTATGAAGGCAGGACAGAATAATTCTAATAATTCTAATGAAATGTTACGCAGCCCTGGTGTCAGCATCAGTTTGTGGGCCCTGCTCGCTGTGGGACTGTACACTGTGTGGAGATATCTGGAATGCTGTCACCTGAAAGGATTAGGAAGTCACCCACTTTGGATCTAAAGCGGCTGTAAGGGGAGGGGCTCTGAGGCCGTCCCACCGGGGGGGACGGGCCCTGCAGTCAGTCCAGGCTTTTCTCAGCGTACAGAATTTGACAATACATCTGGATGGAGAAGATGAGGGCCAGGATCTGTGGAGACAGAAGGAGGTTTAGCCCTCAGCATGAGCTGACTGTGTGCCCCCCCCAAGCATCACAGCACACCACGCAGTGCTTCATCACACTCACAGAGGAACGAGGGGGCTAAATAAAGGGCATCTGTTGACGTACCAGTTTGTGAATGTGAAAACAAACCATCCTCTGTGGCTGGGTTTGCATGAGCCCAGACACGGGATCCATTCCACCCACAGACGGAGCAGTGAGACGGGAGAGGCCTACCTGCACCACGCCTATGCAGACCCCGAACACCAGGACGGAGGGAATGTTTTCCAGCAGCCACTGTTTGGCCTTCTCATAGCAAGGCTGCAGCAGACAGAGACACACAGCGCACAGCCGCTCATCACCGCTGGAGCTCTCTCTCTGGCGTGCACGTGCACAGCTGGAGCTCTTTCTCTGGCGTGCACGTGCACAGCTGGAGCTCTTTCTCTGGCGTGCACGTGCACAGCTGGAGCTCTTTGTCTGGCGTGCACGTGCACAGCTGGAGCTCTTTGTCTGGCGTGCACGTGCACAGCTGGAGCTCTTTCTCTGGCGTGCACGTGCACAGCCGGGGGCGGCTGTTTGTGATGCTGCATTGTTAGCTGTTGTGTTTTCAGTGTGAAACGGGACTATTTCACTTACATTACTTCATCAATGTTCCTATTATTGTGTGTTCGTATGTATTTAGTATGTTTAAAAATCAATCAAATGTGGTTGACAGTAAAACTGACCTCAGTCCATCCAGTGTCACATTTGTCCATCCCCACAGAGCAGCAGGAGGGGGGCAGCGTTCCGTTGAGGACCTCATACCAGTCTGTTGTGTTGCTCACCCCGCAGCACTTGAACTGCAGGCAGTCACACAAACAGCTCAGCCACGGGACATGGACTTTACTCATGTTTTACAAAGAAAAAGCAGCATCACAGAGGGTTCAGCCTACGCAGGAGGAAGGTTTGAATCCTTTTTCTTTCAATCCTCTTTTTATTATTATTTTTATTATTATTTTATTATTATTATTTTATTATTATTTAATTATTTATACTTATTAAACAATACACCAGTCATCTCCAACTATCTGTTTGTTACAACAGACTTATCTAGCTCATTCCACAGGATATACAGATAGGGCTGAATGTTCTCCCTCTATCACACACACACATACACACACACACACACACACACACACACACACACACACACACACACACACACACACA